AGAAGCTTTTACTATTAGGAGATGAAGACCCCATGGCTGGGAACAAGAGACCTGAGCGGACATTTCAGCTCTGCATCCTATGCTGAGTGTGCCCTTGGGCAACCCAGTGCCTTCCCTTAGGTCCCACCTGTCAAATCTTCAGGAAGATTTAAGTTGACCTGCTTTGGTACCAGATAAACCGGGTTAGAATCCCTGCTCCACCACCCCAGGACTCAGTACATGGGTAGACTTGAGCAGCCCCTCTAATCTTTCTGGCCATGAGTTTCCTCTTCCGTAATGGGGCAAGAAGAAACTCTAACTCACAGATGCATTAAAACTAAATCGGAGAATTTATATCATGGAATTGGCACAAGGAATCATTTCTGTCACATAGTGAGTGCTCAGAAATGTTGGCTTTCTTCATATTTATTGTTATAAGTGGACTGCAAAAATATCCCTATGTTGGTAGAAATAGTCTTCCTTGGGCCCTGAGCATCCTTGCTGGGCATGTCAAGAATGCAAAGACCTATGTTCTTAACCTGGGTCATTTCTCCACCCTGTGTTTGAAGAGAAGAACCTTGAGGGATAAGGTAATGATTCCCCCAGACACATACCAGGCTGTGTCTGCTTGCTGTAAAATCAGATTCCCTAAGCCTAGTGCTCCTCCCCTGCTCCGCAATGCACTCCAGGAACAGGCATCGATAGGATCCCGCCTGTGTCACCCACGTGGGATTGAGCGGCTTGGAAAAAGGAGGCAAACCAAGAAGAAGCACGTGCTGTTGTGCCATGAGTAGTAAACCACCCTTTGTCTCTGACCCTGGAGTCTCTTGTCTGTGGCAGAATCCACGAAAAAGTAACACATTAACTTATAACCTTGTGAGTAAGAAAAAAATCTTAGGCAGTTCAAAAAAATCCATATCCCACCTGGAAACCATTCTTGTAAGTGAATTATCAGAAAAATGGAAAAGCAAACACTACATATACTCACCATTAAAATGGGACTAATCGATCAACACTTACATGCACATGGAAATAACATTCATGGGAAATCCAGCGGGTGGAAGGGGGCAGGAGAGGATGGGTAATTCATACCTAACGGGTACAATGCCCACTACCTGGGTGCTGAACACACTTGCAACTTTGACTCAAACGGTACTAAAGAAATTTTTGTAACCAAAATGTTTATATCCCTGTAATAATCTTAAATAAAAATACAAAATATACAGACAAATCCGTAACGCCATTGTCCACATCTCCCTCTGCCCACACCCTTTGCAGTGTGATTTTTCAGCAACTTGCATTAACAGACGGAGCCCATTTTACTGACCACACTTTGTTTCTGTGCCAGACCTTTGAGTTTTCTTTTTGGCCAATACTATGTGGAAAAGGATGACACAATAACTCACTGAGCTCGAAGAGGCTTTGCGGCCTCCTCTCACTCCCTGGGAGCCCTGTATCTGCCATGGGAACAGCCGGGGATCCTTTCTGGAGAGAGAGAATCGCGTGGAGGAAAGTCCAGCTGTCCCCGCTGAGGCCGCCCTAGATCAGCCTGATGCCGGCCGAGCCCCACACAGGTGAGAGACTGAGCCAGGATCAGCAACGCTGCCACCTGGCCCACAGCTGATCACACACCCTGAGTGACCCCTTCCACAGCCACAAGAACCAGCCCACTGTCCCCCAGACTTATTAGCAATCACGAGCACATTGATTTAAACCAATGAGTTCGGAAGTGGTTTGTTCGCAGCAGTAGCTGCTGTGTATTCTTCATCATTGCTCTCTTGAGCTCACAGGGAGAGAAACAGAGAAACTGACACTGTCTGAGCACCTGCTATGTGCCAGGGACAGGACACCATTACATCATCTTGACCTCC